ATAAAGAAATTAAATCTTGCTTTTTCAATTTTATTTTAAACCTGGAGTGAAAAGTCAAGTTCCGAACACTGTTGAAAACCAAAGTACTGAAATACTGGTTAATGATACAATAAATGAAAATTAAAGTCATCCTATTAAAAGACAAAGGAGTACAATATGAATAACAAGTAAAAACAGCACATATATGAATAGTTAAATATATAAATACATAGTACTGGCTCTAAAGGGACATGCCTTTTGCCTGATTCCTAAGACAGATGTATCATATGAGATAATCATTTGTTGAAGTTCTAACATGATTTCTTGGAGCTTTCCGAAACGTACGCATAATCTAAAATTCTAAAAATTACATTTTGGTAAGCATTGTATAAACCCTTACTCTTCTTCTTTTCTTTTTTTTTAAAATTCTTTATTTTCGGCGTGTCATTGCATTACATCTTGATAACCAGGTAAGCCTTACATAGTACGTGCATTTATAGCTGTGGGTACAAATATAACATGTATTGCAGGTCTTACATTATTGTGCTTATCATCTCAAACTTGAGTGTACTTGTTTGTTAGCGACACTTTTTTGAAAAAACCCTTACTCTTCTAAGAGAACCCACAATCTAAAATATGGCTTCACAGCTCTTTAAATGTGAGCAGTTGAGCCTATCAAGAGGGAGTTGCCTAAGCACCTTAAGCGAAGGTCGCCAGATTTTCTCATACCTATTCCTACTCACTAAAAAAGCCCATATGAATATCCTCCATGTACATTGTAATCTCCACCCTCCTTACCTATTGTTCCACTGTAGAAGCTCTAGTCTGTAGGCTTATGCTCCACAATATCTTTCCTTGTGTTTTACATTCAGCAAGAAAATACTCTCATCACTGTACTATTTCTACTTGCTATTACTGAAGGAGCAGTTGGGTAAGGCTGTAGGTTAGTGGGTGCACTTAACCACAGATGTATGGATTGCAGCTAGTGACTAGCATGCCTTCTTCTCCATGACAGCACACTGGAGCTTGGGCATGGTGGTGGCAGTGGAGGAAGGCAAACTTTAGCTACATGCCAGAAAGGGAGTGGAAGTGATACATTCTGAAGTGATGGATAAAAAGCACACTTCAGCAAACAACTTGCAGGCAATCAGATGAATTGTGTAAAATCGATTGGAAGAGCAGGCAGGCAATCTTTTGCACAATGGATTTATGGTCACTGACGAAGCCGCTAATTTGGCCAGAGCTCTTCAAGATGTTTTCTTTGTAGATGTGCACTGTTCTGCACACAACCTACATTTTGAAGTGAATGGTGCAATTCAGAAAGCCAACACAAAGGTGCAAGGCATACTTGTGTGTTGCAGGAGGTTTGTCGGCTGTCCAACCATGGAATTACCATGTTGCCATTGTCTACTGCTCCCAGCAGCTATACTGGCACCACAACCCCAGCACAGCAGGGTGGAGCAGTTAAGTTTCTGCTTACTACTGTTGGCAGTTAGGAAGATAAAACGACTCGGCAAGAAGCCAGAGGGAGAGTAATGGCTCTGAAATGGTCTGAACATGCTTTGCCTCCTACTAATGATCCTCTGAGGTACCAGGATGTGACTAAGCTTCTATGTCTGGTTGCCTAGCAGCTATTGTCATGTCTACTGACCACCGTCCAAAGTGAGCGAGTGTTTTCATTTATAAGGAACATTCTGAATCCCCAACACTCCCCATGTCCCTGCACTTCAAGAAGAAAATAACCTTCCTCAAGTTCTATCTCCCCAACTTAGTTTACCGTGCTCTTCACTTGGATGCATGAGGCATCATCATCATCATTTGCTAGCTGAGGTCCAATCTGCCTTCGAAGTTGCTTGTTTCTAAATGTATAAAAGTATTGTAAGTATTGTAAAATCTGAGGTTGATTAAAAAGAAGTCAAATACATTTCAAATGCCTTTCATTGTAGTGGACTCACCCTGCCTGGCAGGCATTAGCTGAGCCAACAAGCTAGGTCCTAAACTGCAAGACTTAGCATAGGCAGAGAGTTTCCGGCTCTTTGTCTGAAGTAGAGTCAGGGAGTGAAGCTTGACCGACCCAGATAAGAAGTCAAACTATTTTAAAACAGTTTTAGAGTGTTCATTTAAGTAAAGAAAAATATTTTTTCTGTATTGTAAATATTATGAAGACGAAAGACAGGCTGATTAGAAAAACTAAATATACTTGTTTATTTTTGTATAATGATACTAATTTGAAGTAACTGTATAATTTTAACTGAGTATATGCTGTCACTAAGACATCAGCAGTACAACGGAACACAAAATTATAGTTTATGGAGTGGATAGATATGCATACAGATAGCTTGGTAAAAATTATACAGACACGTACACACAATCATCAGAGAATAGTTAAAAGAAAAAAACAAAAACAAATGTAATATGCAATGCGTCTTTAGCATGCAGATAAAAATAAAATAGCTAATAAAATATTTTAAAGGGACACTATAGTCACCAGAACCACTACAGCTTAATGTAGTAATTTTGGTGATCTATAGTCTGTCCCTGCAGGTTTTTAAATCTAAAGTCTGCGTTTTCAGAGAAAAGGCAGCGTTTACCTTGCTGCCTAGAAAAATCTCTGACATTTACTCAGAAGGCCACTAGAGGTGCTTCCTATTAGTGGTGTACTAGCAAAACCATTAACCGATTTATTTAACCAATCATTGTTAACAGGAGTAGTCCCAGAAGATTGTAAGTTAGCGAATGTTGTGCCCATTTACAAGAAAGGTAATAGGGAGGAGTCGGGCAACTATAGGCCAGTAAGCCTTACTTCAGTAGTGGGGAAAGTGATGGAAACCATGTTAAAGGATAGGATTGATGAACATCTAAAAACACATGGATTTCAAGATCAGAGACAACATGGGTTTACTTCAGGGAGATCATGTCAAACTAATCTTATTGATTTTTTTGATTGGGTAACTAAAATTAGTCATACTGCTCTCCTCATACCCATTTCAATTTAAGGATACCTATATCTCTTATCTAGGAATCATATTGCCAGCAGTGCTCCCCCACATGTACTCACTTAACAACACCCCTTTACTTAAAAAGGCATCTGACGACCTACACACATGGCAGGGCCTCTCAGTTTCTTGGTTTAGAAGACTTTCTTAGGCTAAAATGATCTTGCTTTCCCACTTCTTATATTAGTTTCAAACCCACCTCATCCCCTTCTATGGCCCTAGGTCTGACTCTGATTTATGTTTGAAGCAATATGGACACAGGGGAACTTATATCCTATTATGGTGGAACTGCTCATACATAACACCACTGACAGATATTGCTAAATTGGCATCCAGACATCTGCAGGTTGACATTCCACTGGACCCATGGATCTGGGATTCAATCACCAAAACAAGATAGTTAACAGAACGCACAATAGCCGAGGTATGGGGCACTCATAATTCCGACCCTTAGCAAGAATACCAGTAAATCATAGAAGCAGTAGCAATAGACAGACTGATAATTAAGATCCATGCAACCTCTAAACACTTTCACAAAACATGAGAAACTTGGCTTAATGACCCTTAACAGCATGACACATACTACACTACCCTTTCAGTTACTTACAACAACAGGACTGATGCGCCATACAGTTGTAATCAAAATTATTCAACCTCCATTAAAAATCAGGTTTATTGTCAAAATTTACAGACTTTCAGCTGTTTGCAATGCACAAATCAAACAAAAGCAATTGAAATAACTCAACACAATGAATGCTTTAAGTGGTTTCCCCAAATTTAAATAAAAATGCAATTTATAATGACTTCTCCAATCTCTAAATTATTCAACCCACCGAATAGAATACCTCACATCAGCACAAACATGCAAAACAGGTCAGTCAAAGGCTTCATTAGATACACCAGGTGTGCTTGAGCTGGAGCACTTGAAATACTGGCTACGGGTTTGTGGAGTGTCACATTTGACTGCATGTTAGAAATATGGCTAAGTCAAAAAAATTGTCCAAAACTTTAAGAGAAAAGACCATTGCCCTTCACACACAAGGAACAGGATACAAAAAGATAGCTAAGGCACTAAATGTTCCTAGAGACACAGTTGGAAGCATAGTTCACAAGTTTAAAGTTGAAGGAACACAGGACACACGACCCTATCTTAGCATTTGCCCTCCCCTCCTTTTTCCATACACACACCCCCAGCCACTCACATCATGAGAAAGTGCCCCCTCCACCTGCATCATTAGCAAGCGCATTCACGCTGATACTGACGTCTGCCTTAGGAGGTCCGTGCCCTCCTACCCACGTTACACAGATACACATATAGGAGGGTCGTGCGATTGGGCACGCCCTCCAACAAAATAATAAATGTGCCTACATTTTTTCATCAGGAGGACGATACTGGCGGCTACACTACAGTCCCCATGATCCTTAGCGAAAATGGCTGCCGACCACATGACCTCTTTCCATTTATAATAGATATCTTTTTTTAACCCTTGTTTTACATCATTACCTATTTATTCAAAACATGCATACACTCCTGTTTCTTAACATATATGTGTATAAGAAATTCTAAGTTTGTTTTAAATATATTAATTAAGTAATTATGACATCATTTTGGCACCATTTTTGAAATTACACAAGCTGTCTCATTCCCTTTAAAAACCCATGCTTGCCAGGTTATGTTTTCTACTTCTCCACTTGAGAAAAGCCTGCTGGCGAAATGCGTTGTGGACATTTTAAATAACTGTATTGTATTTTATTAAAGGTATTTTGGTCACTTTCTTTCTGTGAGTTGCCATTTTACTTTTTTAACTTATTTTAATACTTTTTTTACCTGGCTTCTGAGTTTTTATCCTGTTCCAGTGAGACATTACTCCAAAGAATCCTAGCTGGGGATTATACCACTTAAGCCCTATACATTGAGCAGACCGCCTGCTCATGTAAATGTGAGTAACCACTTTATATTTTATCTCTGTACTCCTGAATTTTAAATAGAGAGCACTATTGCTGTTCCTTTTATATTTCATATGACCCTCCTTCGGACAAGACACCACCTCACATATCCTATAAGTAGGGATTATACCACTGTACGCACTTCATACCAGAGCTAGTTCCTTAGCTCTTTAAAACGTGAGTAGGATTATATCAGACTTTTTACCAGCTGCTACCTTGTTGAATGTATTGCACCATTAGTTGTTTCTTTTATCTCCACATACGGACTTTAAGAACACCCCTACCTCGTAGAGCGGCTTCCCACCCATAGAGTTATCGTTGGCTTTACATCTAATTTTCAAAAGACTGAACTCTATCTTTGGAACTCTCCAAATTTATTTTATTTTTACTTTTTACTTTTTATATTTCTATATACTATATATGTGTTTTATCTGTTTATAGTACTTATTTATTGGCGTCACCCAACCCATCACCTTTTCTCTAATGATCTCAAGCATACCTCAAATTCCACCAAGGCTTGGTTGCAGAAGAAGTACTGGAAAATTCTACAGTGGCCATCAAAGTCACCTGATTTAAACCCCATAGAAAATCTTTGAAGAAGGTGGTTGAAGCACGCAAATCCAAGAATATTACTGAAATAGAGGCCATTGTATCAGTAATGAGCTAAGATTTATCAGGAACCCTGCCAGAAGCTGGTGTCTGGATATGCATCTCATTTGCAGCAGGTCATAACAGCAAAACGGTGCCCTACTAAGTACTAAAGATACTTTCCATGAAGGGGTTGAAACATTTTGAGACTGGAGAAGTCATTATAAATTGCATTTTTAGTTTAATTTAGGAAAACCACTTAAAGCATTCATTGGGCTAATTTTTCTGACAAAGACTTTGGAGAAACTTTTGTTTTAAAAGTTTCTACAAGCAAAGTTAGTTTCAACAAATCAATCACCATCTTCTGCACCAATTTCTACACATAAAAAATGCCATGTTGCTTGCAGAACCCCCAATCTCAAATCCATTCAGCTTTCTCCCATTGACATGTCATTTTTCATTATGGTGTACATTTAGTCAATTTCACAATTGAATATGTTTAGAGGTATTCATTGTCATTCCACATCCCAATCCACAATCCCGATATTTTTAAATGTTCTCCACATTGCAAGGAAAATTGTCTGTGTTCTAAATTATCATTCTCACCTTAACGTGTCTTTCTAGAGTAATATATGATGTGTCTATAAAGAGTCTTCTAAATCTCTCAGGGGAAACGTGAATGATGGTGTTACTGCTTCAAACAATGCACCAAGTGTTGTATTACTCTGCCTCATTTATAAAACTCAACAAGTACTTTATCATTGTTAAATTGGGAACTATGAACGTGCTGCAAAATACTTTATTATTATTTATAAAGTTCAAACAAATTCGGTAGTGCTGTACAATGAGTGGACTAACAAACAAGTACAGGAACAGAGGGATTGAGGGTCCTGCTCAATGAGCTTACATGTTAGAGGGAGTTGGGTAATGTGACACAAAAGGTAAGGGTAGGATAGAAAAGTAGGTTTTTACGATAGTGTTCATTGAGGGCTTAGTGTTTGGTTTTGATGACAGTTTCAGGAGAGGTATCAGGATGTGGGGAGGGAAAGCTGTTACTAAACAGTGATTTACATTTTTTTTCTAATATGGATAATGGTGTGTTCCTTCAGACCAGCCAAACTGAAAGCATTAATTTTGCATTCGCTCAGAATTCTCATGTTAGTGAAAAAGTTTGTTAGTGTCAGTTCTGTGAAACACAATTTCAAAAATGTCTTCTGTAAACTTTTCACAAAAAGACAGATGTCCTTCACAAATTTTTCCCAGTAGCAAAAATATGTCAATGTCCACCCCAATCTCATCCAGCTCAGAGCTGTATAAAAAGTTCAGAATTGTTTGCCAAAATACGCATTTCTTCACAGTCACATGTTTACAATCTCTGCCCTACACCATGCCACCTTGCACCTGACAGTTTCTTTTGTCAGAAGAAATGTATGTGCCATGGCATAAAATTCATAGCCAAACTATATACATGTGGACTTTCAAAGAATCCGTAAATGATGGACTTTTTACAACAAACCATTGATGTGCTGCATGCCTTCTTTTTATTTCTGGGGTCTTGAAGGCCCCTGCTTACCTCTTGCTTACTGCATGCTCTCCTATTTTCCCCATTCCATATGTCCTTTCCTACCCAACATTTATACTTAGAATTAATAGGCTTTCAAGCCCAAATATGCGGTGGTGGGGAAGAAAAGAAAAGTTTTATTAGCCTTCCTTGCTAACAGAGTTTTCCGTGGACCCAAGCACTAGAGAATGTACCTATATTTCACTACCTTTCTGTCATCACAAGGTAAGCATTTCTTTGGAAAGAGCCACAGATATTCTCGTTTTTTTATTTTTTTGGAGTTTGTCTTCTAGCACTTTAATGCCATTGTTGGGTTTTTCGTTAATGGTTTTGTTCTAGTTAGAATATCACAAACAGTCTTACACTGGCATTTTCCAAGTCCAACCCAACTTTAACTTAGCCAACAATTGCAAGCCACCATAGACAAGCTGGCAACGGTGTTGTCTTTAGTGAATCACAAATTTGGAGATTTTCTTCGTCTTCTGCTTCACCAGCCATTGTGCCTGTGGTTGAAAGGTCTGTGCAATTTGACCCTTTGAAAAAACCCTTTTAGTAAAATCAGCAGGCAGAAATTCCTTCTACGATCAGTCGAAATATCATCACAATCATTACAATTCACATACCATTTTCACAAAGCAGCACAATGAAATATTGAATTGAACAGAAAGTTCTGTTTTGATGATTTTTTATTATACAGAATATTTTTTCAATTTTGTCATATTTTTCATGTTTATTTTTGTTTTTTTATTTTTAACTTTTGTACTATGTACTGGATTTACAATAACGTACTCAGGATTGGGACAGATCAATATACTCTTAGAGTATTCTTCAGGAACTCTGTTTCACAGATCACTGATATCTGTGTGCCCTTTATTTATCCAAGTAATCTGTTTTTTGCATAGGATAGTTGGCAGGCAGTATTGTATATTTGTTATTGTTTGCACTTTAGAATATTTGTACATGGTTATAGTATTTATGGTGATTAGGCACTAAGCACTTTAAGTTTTTTTTCTGTATTTTAGCTATGGTGGACTAGCCATTTGAATTGTGATATACGCTTATCTTTACATAGGAGAGATCAGCATTCTTTCCTATATTACTATGTTGTGTCAATAAACCAAATTTTTAAACAAATTTGCTTTAAGCTTGTGTGCGGTATCATTTTGGTATTTTTTATTATTTGATTTTGAGTCTTTAGAGGTGACCCAGATACCTGCACCTAAGGTGTGACTGAGTGTAAGTACTATTTGATTTTTTGGTATACATGTAGTTATGTGTAAACATATACCCTAATTACCCTTAAACATTACACCACAGAGCAACCACTACATTACCATAACACATTACAACACACCGTGCTCTACACGAACACTATCACCAAACATTAACCCTTGCACAACACTATTACGAATCCCTATGCATATTTAAACAAGTGGAGGTTATTTAGTGACTCCAATGGCCATTAGATGTAAGCTCACCTGCCAAGTCAAGGCAAAACTCTTAGGTTAGCCCTACACTAACAATTTACTTTGCTTGCTTCATCTTCAGGCAAAAAAAAATCTTTGCCCGAAGCTCAAGGAAGCAAGGTGAACAATCAGTGTAGGAGCCACCTAAGAGGTTTGCCTTGACGTGGCAGTTGGGCATTCCCTCTCATGGCCATTGGAGTAACTGAATAACCTTCATTTGTTTAACCCCTTAGGGACACATGACATGTGTGACGTCATGATTCCCTTTTATTCCAGAAGTTTGGCCCTTAAGGGGTTAAATATGCATTGGGATTTGGAATAGTGTGCAAGTAAATCTTTCTTTGTTTTTTAATTGTATGTATTGCAGATGATGTGTACTATGGTTATTGTTGCTGCCCAGGAGTAGTGGGAGTCTGAGCGCAGAACTTATTTTTGTGTATTTGTATTTACCTTACACAACACTAAAACTATCACATTACCCCCCACATTACAAGAACACTAACCCTTAACACTGATATTGCCCTAATACTAAACATTATCCCCTACAATATATTAAAACGATATAATCGGTACACAATGTCTCAATATACTGTATTTATCTATATATTTATGTGTATGTTGTTTACTTTTTACAGTAATTTTGTAACTAAAATTCTTAACCATCCTACTAAAAAAAAACAGGAAAAGTAATTAAATAAACATTTCTAATTATTCGTTTATGGCCCTGCTACATGTGAGTTAATTCCACTTCATTTTAAACGTATATTCTGCTGATAATTATGACCTCTTTTTAACCATGAGCAATTTAAAAAATGGAAAGATTTCCTTAATCACAACATAATTGCTTAACATTAAAATACTTTTCTGATTGCTACTGGGTAATCACATATGTAACAACTTTAGCTGAGAATGGCCAGATTTGGGGGAACAGAAAGCTTCGCAAGACGGATAAAAAAAATCAAATGTGACAAGTGGATGTCATTTCCAATAACCCATTTATACAAGCCCCCAAAATGTGCCTTTTTTTCCTCTTTAGCTGTTTGCGATCATTTATCTCAAAACAATCCCCATCCATTTGTTGAGCCACATTAGTTGTCAATCCTTGCCAATGAACCTTGCCAATCTGTACATTTCTTATAAAACAGCATCTTTGGACCTGTCATTATATCTCTTGGCATTGTTCCTAGTTGATGCTAGTCTAATTGGTGGAAATAGTTTAGCAGGCAACATGCAAGACCCATATTTGCATAGAGAAGCTGTATGTTAACTAGAGTTCTGTTATTCATTTAAATTAGGGATCTGCATTTTAACCCATTGTTTATGATAGCTGGCCACCAAGTTCTGTGAGATCTCTGCTCATTCTGATTTCATTATGAGACATCCTTCTAAATTAATTGGCATTATATGTAAATTCAAGGATGGGAATATACTATCTGCTTACATAAATGGCCAGTTATGCAATTCTGGGGTAAGTGAATGCTAATGTGAAGTTAGGTGTTAGTGTGTGCACTACCTGGGGGCTGGGGCTGGCTTAACATGTGAAGGGGGTGGAGGAGGTGATGTCTTATTATTGTATCACAGAGTGACTGACTGTCATTTGTAGGAATCAGCAGGGCAGGCACAGCACAGCATATCTTGATACAACAATTCCCAGAGCTCTGACAGTGTGGCCAAGTGATGTCTGCTCAGCACAGCAGGTTATCACTGCAGCCCTTCAGAACAACAGATTAGCTTCCTTGGTTACTCCATGGACACAATATTGCTCACATCAGGACCAACCATAATTCTCGATCTTTATGAACTAGGGAGAACAAATACTGCCTATCAAGACTGCAACTCCCATCCTGGTCAGCCACACTTCCCTTTTTAACAAATGAAATTATTTTATGTTATTTTAATAGCAATATCAACATTATGTGCTATATGTTTGATCTTATATATATTTAACAGTATAAGTAATAAAACCAATACCATTACATTTATTTCTGATAAACCATCACCAGACATCCCTTCATTCATCTTACTAATGGTAGATAAATGCAATAGTCTTTGTCGTCCAGGTCCAGCTTTAGTATTGAAGTGAAATGTAAATTACTGGTAGTTTTAGAAAAAAATAAATGCTATGAAAAAGCTAAATACCGACATACACATACAGTAAAGGATCTGAATGTAAAAGCAGAGAGAGACCCTGCATCATTGGCACCCCAGAATCTTGTTTGGATTACAATTCCTATCATGCTCAGCCAGGTTTTGCCATCCTTGCCCTTTCCTGTATCTGCATGCACATGACAGCTTCAGCTCTCAGCAGGTTCCACACTGAGCATCAATCATGGATATAACAATCAATGATTGCCCAAATGCTGGTTAATTGTGCCTTCATGGGTTATGTAATGCAGGCTGATCTGCCTCTGGGAACTTTCAGTAGTGGCTGAATCACTTCATATTAATGTCAGGTCCAACACATTGCTTCCATCCCAACCTGTCCTCTCCTGGCTGTGCCAGCGACACAGGGGATCCATTAATCTTTAGCTACAAAGTTACCTTGCAGCTGCGCCTTCCCCATCAGTAGCATGTCAGTGCCTGAGGATGATGAGAGACAAGCATCTGATAAATATTAAAGCTGTATGCTGTATTACCCTGAATGTTACAGTATAGCTAAAGATCACACAGGGACCATTTAAGTTGCTTTCAACATCAGTTACCTATTCTCTTAAAGATTTTAGTCGCACATCAGTCATTGGTTACAAACCCTTTCTTTCCTAGAGATTCTAAATTCTAAAATAGAACGTTGCTATTTGATTGACCACCCCCCTCCCCCCCCATACTCCTAAATGCTGTGTCCCCCTGCTTCAAAACAAAATCATATATCCCTGCATATAGACTCCTCCGAGCATCTCTTCCTGAATTCTGTCACCGATTTATTTCTGTGAGTGTGCAAGATTTGACACACGTTGCCTCCCCCTCCCCTTTACATTGTCCTGTAACGCCCCGAATATTGAATAAAGGGGAATAGGACAGACTTAACTTGTCAACTGGAGTCAGCTGACCATGAAGCACATGCCACCCTACCTATATCCCTTGGTTGTGTCAATCCAGTGAGCATCACCTGGACCACACTTTGCAGGAGGAGGAGGTGGAGAAGAAGTTCTTGGTCTGTTAGTGCCCTGCACTCAATGTTAGAGTCATGAGATGAGAGGGCACGCAAAGAAAGCCTTAGACATGGTGCAGAATGCGTCATTCCCAGGGAACTGCTGTGCAAAGAAGGGGGACTTCTTGGACCCTGAAGCTCCCCGGGCAGCCTGGCTGGTGACTGTGCTGTCCAGCGTGCTGATCTTCACCACCGTGGTGGACATCCTGGGGAGTCTGCTGGTCATCATTTCCGTGCTCAAGAATAGAAAACTGAGGAATTCAGGTAAGGACCTGGGGACATGTCTATGGTTCTGTATCCACAACTGTAACAGTAACAGCTACCCAGGGATACATTGTGTCTGCTGCCACCCCAGCCTTGTACATGGTGGCAAGTCTCTGAGTCAACACAGTTTAGAAAGGCTCATAGAGATCAGTGCTGGCTGGGGATGCCACCAACTCCCCCTCCCCCCTCTAGATGTTTGTGAGGTGTTAACGGCTGGCTGAGATTGATGGGAAGTATATTTCACAGAGATCCAGGTTGCTTTGCTCGGACAGTGCTGATGCAGATTGAGATGAGTTTATGACAGTTTTGCTCTTGTATTCTGGCTAACTAGAAAGTTAATCAGAGATCTGCTTGCTGAGTTCATAAAAACGTAATTAGCCCATCATCGCCACGGGGCTGAGAAATCTGTTAGTTGCAATGTAACGAGAAGGGCTCAGTTACTGAAATGGTTAACAGACATTTATTAGCGTCAACAAGCAGTGTGTCATGTTTTTATTTATTTTTTGTTTTTTTTCCCAGCAATCTTAGCCTGGTAAACGTACATCATGGTACTGGGGGCTGCTAAAATGTGTGTCAGCTGCTTACAAAGTTACAAAGTATTGTCTGGATACATTGTTATTTAATTACAGCCAGGCTCTGTACCCACCTCATCCATGTGCCCAGGCTGTCTGCATGTTTGCTTGTTTACACAATGTTAACTGTGTTTGTGTGAATTGAGTTTCTAGGGTGTATAAAGTCTAGACATACATATTAAGAGATGGACAGACAGACAGACAGAGACAGACAGACAGACAGGCAGACAGACAGACAGAGACAGACAGACAGACAGGCAGACAGACAGACAGAGAGAGACAGACAGGCAGGCAGACAGACAGACAGATAGATAAATGGATGGATGGATAACCAGAGAGAGATAGATAGACAGATCAATGGTAGATAAATAACAGATACAATGAATCCCCACCTGTGTGTCTGTCCATCCACAGATGCACACAAACACCCACACAGACAGACACACTGTAAAAGTTTTTTTTTTTTCTGCACTTTCTACACCTGGAGGCAGCCTGCCCTCATGGGATTCAGCTTGGGATAATACTCGGGAGTCCTGTTATTTTAGATAAATTCTAGGCACAGTGATTTGAATAGTAAAAGTGAATTCAAGGATACATTTTAGCACAAATGAGTTCTGGTAGGGAGTCTGTCTGCTGTGCAGTGATAGTATCAGATCAGTAACTAGAGAGAAGCTTTAAGAGATCAGGAGAAAATTCACTAGAGCTAGTTCTGTATAAAGCTTTCTGAAATTCTTCTAGTTTAACCCCTTAAGGACACATGACATACATGACATGTCATGATTCCCTTTTATTCCAGAAGTTTGGTCCTTAAGGAGTTAAAATTCTGTTCCTCAGACATAAAATTGCTGCCTTTGCTAAGGAACCTGTCTGTTTAGAATTCTCTATTATACCTGTAGCCCTATGCACAAAATTACAAATAAATGCTTTAAAAAAAAAAAAAAAGACAGGTTAGTTTGTTTCTGCTGCTATGACAACAGAAGGCATCCATACTAATAGGGCTTCCCTTCAATGTTGCATTGTGTCACATGACTCCAGCTACAATTAATCTGACCTGGCAAAAATAATAGAAGGAACAGAGTTTGACAGATTAAATTATTTCTGAGCACGATTTATATATTTGATAGAAAATACCTGCATTCCACCTTTTCTCTTCTTCTAAATCTACTGCTAAATGGCATTATTTTTCCTTAATCTACTTTATGTATATTTTATATTGCATGGTTTGTTTTTTGTTTTTTTGTACACAATTTCCTACACAATTAAAAGATACACATGAGGGAAAATAGCCCCTTACTGAACAGATATACAGGAGTCAATATGTAATCTTACGTCATTTTTAGCAATTAATTAGCTTGCATTTGGGAGGGAAGAATATGTTACTATGTCATTTAGAATATAAATTATCCAGTCATAAATCAACACCGTGTGCCAGGGCCGGACTGGGAAAAAAATTAGGCCCGGGCATTTTTCAATTAGAGCGGCCCCCCAAGAAGGGGCGGGGCCAGAGAGGGTGTGTTTTGTCATCACTAATGACAAGCACGCCCCCTCTCAAAGTGAGCATGTTGGTTCAATGCGCAGAGCCCCGCTGAAGAGCTCTAGCATTAGAAAAAGGCCCTGAATTTGTTCTGCGCAGCGCAAGCAAATGTAATAACATGCTTGTGCTGTGTTTTCTTTTAAATTGTCTCTGGTGTCTCCACAAGTGGGATACCAGAGGACAAAAGGGCCAGGAAAGTGTATGGTGCATGTGTTTGGCGCATGCTTGTGGGATGGCCTGTGTGTAGAGTGTGGTGTGGTATTGTGTAAATAGGTCAATTTTGTGGTGTAATATGTGTGGCTAGGGGCTGTAGAGAGTGCGTGTATAGGGGCATAGTGTTATAGGGGATGTAGCGAGTGTTTGCATACGGGCAGTAGTGTGTGTGTATAGGTGACGTAGTGTGTGTAGGGGTTGTAGAGAGGGTGTGTTTAGAGAATGTTGTATGTGTTTGCTTACAAGGAATGTAGTGTGTGTGTAGGTGGTGCAGTGTGTGTAAGAGATCTAGTGTGTAAAGGACCCAGAGTCAGTGTGTATAGAAGATTTTGTGTGTGTGTGTGTGTGTGTGTGTGTGTGTGTGTAGAGGATTAAGAGTGCATATAGGGTAAGGGATCTAATGTGTATCTGGAACGTAATGTGTGTAGTGGTGCAGTGTGAGGGGTGCTGTAGTGTGTGTGCGTGTATATATATATATATAATATATATATATATAATATATTTGGACATATTGTATGTGTGAGGTGCGCAGTGTGTATGTGTGTATATATATATATATATATATATATATATGTGTGTGCTGTACATGTGTGGGAGTGAGGGTGTTGTCTGTCTGAGGGTGTTGTGTGTGTCTGGGGGTGCTGTGTGTGTCTGGGGATGCTGGGGGTGCTGTGTGTGTCTGGGGGTGCAGTGTGTGTCTGCGTGTGCTGTGTGTGTGTCTGGGGGTGCTGTGTGTGTGTCTGGGGTGCTGTGTGTGTCTGGGGGTGTCTGGGGGTGCTGTGTGTGTCCGGGTGCTGTGTGTGTCCGGGTGCTGTGTGTGTCTGGCGGTGCTGTGTGTGTCTGGGGGTGGTGTGTGTGTCTGGGGGTGCTGTGTGTGTCTGGGTGCTGTGTGTGTGTCTGCTGCTGTGTGTGTCTGTGCTGTGTGTGTCTGCTACTGTGTGTGTGTCTGGGGTGCTGTGCGTCTGGGGGCGTCTGGGGTGCTGTGTGTGTGAGGGGGCTGTTAGGGAATTTATTTAATTTTTTTTTCTTTTTATTAATAATTAAAAAAAAAAGAAGTTATGTCCCCCCCCCTTCTTACCTTTATCCTGGGAGGGGGGAGGAGATCCGTTCTGCCTGGGAGGGAGGGAGCCGTGTTGCCATGGAGGGGGGCTGTGCTGCCATCCTTCCCTGGTGGTCCAGTGGTGAGAGTGAACTTTAGCCTGCAGGCTAGAGATCACTCTCGCAAGAGCTGAGCGTTGCCGTGGTAACCGCGGCAACGCTCAGAAGCCAGCGAGAGGACCCGGTAGAGCTGCTGGTTAGATCTCCGCCGGTCCTCTCCTGCCTCCCTCCCTCCCTCTCCTGCTGGCGGCCGCCTGTAACTTACCTTTTTCCAGCGCTGGACGGGGGGCTCTCCTCCTCCAATCCTCCTCTTCTCCTCCCCGTCAGCTGAATGCGCACGTTTATGGCAACTGCTATGTTTATGAAAAAATGGGTTAACCCTAGCTGGACCTGGCACCCAGACCACTTCATTAAGCTGAAGTGGTCTGGGTGCCTATAGTGGTCCTTTAACACTTCTAAAGGGCTCTTAAAAGAACAATGTTTATGTTTGCAGTTTACATTAAGAAATGCGTTAATATGGGCAAGTAACCATGAAAACCAGTCGAATATACCAATGACCTGAAGGCTAATTATGCATTTGCAGATGTTTTGTCTATTAACCCCTTAAGGACAGAGCTTCAGAAGCTTGTCTTTCACTTAATGACAAGAGCATTTTTCATTTTTTTGCTGTTTGCGTTCAACTGCAATTTAAATTTTACTAATTTATTGCACCAACACATATTATATATTGTTTTTTAAAGGACAGAAAGGGCTTTAATTTGATGTAACACACATATATATATATAAATGCTTATTTATTATAAAAAAAGAAACATTTTGTGTTTTTTTTTACAGTTTTTGCAATTATAATGTGTGCATAATTAGTGCAGGTTAAGGAAAGTAATTAAAAATAAATTCATTTAGTTTTTCTGATTTATAGAATATATAATGTGTCTGGGATTTTAAGTTTTTTTTGGTAGTTACAGGTCACAAAGCACAAGGAGTAAAATAAACTTTTAATGTGGAGCGATTTTAGAATTTGGTATGTTTGTCTTGTAAGTTTAATAGCCATAAAAGAAAACAAAATTGTCACACAAAAGTATATATTTATAGAAAGTAGACATCACAGGCTATTTACCTAGGGTTGTTTTGACACTTTCTACATAGCCATTTCACCGCAAACCTCTGCTAAATATTGGAGTAAAATTGTGTTTTATTTAGTTTTTGGCACACAAATTTATAACAAAGAACTTCTTGTGTGTATTTTGTAAAGTTGGTGTGTGCTATTCCTGTACAAAGTTTTATTTTGTGTTCAGTTACATCTGCTGAGTAAAATGACACCCCCATTGTATGTCTTTGGCACTATTTCATGAAGCTACAGTGCCATATAGGAGACCTGTCCGTTTCAGTATTCACAGTAGAATTTTGAGAGACGGATTTAATGAGCCTATGCTTCCATTTGGGGTATTATAGCAGTTTGACTGTTCAAAAAAACCCCACAAAGGCCTACCATTTGTAAAAGTAGACACTCCAGGGTATCTCATAAGGTGCATATTGTGCCTTAACATGCCCCCATTTTTTCACCAATATATGCCAAAGTATGTGGTAAAAAATAATTTTGTGCGTTTTTTACACATGGATTGCATTTTTGCTGGCCATTTTGTATATTTCACATGTGCCACTAAGTTCAAACCCCCTAAATTATGCTCGGCTAAGTCTTCTGAGTAAAAAGACACCCCCAATGAATGTCTTTGGCACTATTTCATGAAGCTACAGTGTCAAGCCATATCAGTTTTACCGAACTTTGAATTTTGACGCTGGGCCT